ATGGTGGCCCATACCTTTATCCCTGCACCTGGGAGGCAGAGGCAGGTAGATCTTTGTAAATTCATGACCAGCCTAGTCTACATAATGAGCTTTCAGAGTAGACAGGGGTATAGTAAAGATTATAGAGGCCCTGTCTCAAAACAAAACAAATAAGGAAAAATAGTACATGATTATGTCTAGACTAGTGCCTGGCACATAATTGCTTTTCAACAATGTTCATTGAGTGAATTCAGGTATAGAGATACACATATCTATACATATTCAGGTAATGTGTAATATAGTTTAAAGCTTTTTGTGGAGCTCTGTTTGCTGCTTAGACTTTTGTGGATTAACTGTGAGCTCCAGTGACAGGAAAGAAGGAGAATGTTGTTAGACCTAGGGAATTAGGGGATAGCATCCTAGAAGAGATCAGGTAGAAATAGAAGAGTGCCAATAATGAGCACACCAAAATAGCTTTTACACTATTGATAATTTGGAAGTCATTTGTAGAAACAAGTGGCAGGGAGTTTCAAGTTTATGAACATCTTAGGGGTAATTTTAGTGTATTTTTATCTTGAGACAGACTGTAGACCTACTGTCCAGGAACTCACTATGTAGTCCAGGCTGACTTTGAACTCATAAGAATCCACTTGCCTCAGCCTTTTGAGTGACAGGTTTAAAGACAGGTTTAAGCCTCTCACCTCCATGCCCAGCATGTGGTGAAAAGTGGGAGTCAACTGATACATGGGAAAGAGATGGTAACCTTGGGAAATTTTAGAAGGCTTTGAGATTTGGTAGGGAATTAGGAGGCAGTAGCTTTTGAATTTGAAAAAAAAAATAATATAAAAAATTATTTTTATAATTTGCTTAAATGCCCTTGAATTTGTACTAGGCTGTTGAATCATGCCTGTAATCCCAGCACTTGGGATCTATAGGCAGGAGAATAAGGAGTTCAAGGTCATCCCTGGGTAAAGTTTGTCTGTTTGAGCTACCCAGGACCTGCCTTAAACAAAACAAAAACATAAACTAGCAAATACTCTACAACCAAAACAGTTATAGTCACCAACAGCCAGGTACAGCTCCTGCACCAGTGCTCCCAATGCCTAGAAAGGCCTAGGACTGACCCTTGCCTCCCACTTCTTTTCTCCTGAGCTTGAATTACAGGCTTGTCATTGTTGTGGATTTTATTATTTTTGTTTTGTTTTGTTTTGTTTTTGTTTTTCAAGACAGGGTTTCTCTTTGTAACAGCCCTGACTTGGAACTAGCTCTTGTAGACAAGACTGGGCTCAAACTCACAGAGATTTGCCTGTCTCTGCCTCCTGAGTGCTGGGATTAAAGGCGTGCGCCACCACCGTCCAACAGATTTTATTAATTTATTTAGACAGGGGGCTGGAGAGATGGCTCAGAGGTTAAGAGCACTGACTGCTCTTCCAGAGGTCCTGAGTTCAATTCCCAGCAACCACATACATAATGAATAAATAAATCTTTAAAAAAAATTTATTTAGACAGGGCCTCTTACTATATAGTCCTAGCAAGCCTAAAACTGTATAGACCAGGCTGTCTTGGAATTCACAGAGGTTCCCCCTATTTCTGCCTCTCAAGTGCTGGGATTAAAACTATGCATTGTGATGTCAAATCTTTAATTTTTTAAAATTACATTTATTTATTGTTAGAGAGCAACTACTCAGAGTTCTCTTCTTCCACCATATGGGTGCCAGGAATGGAACTCGGGGTGTCAGGCTTGGCAGCAAGCAGCCTTCATAGCCATCTTACTGACCCTCCAGTCTTGGGTTTTTTCTAACTTTGTTGGTGTTCAGTCTGCATATATGTCTGTGCATGTGTACCACACGTCTTTAATGCCCTCAGGGCATCAGATTCACTAGGACTGATGTTACTGACAGTTTGAACTGCCACATCAGTGCTGGAACTCAAACTGCTGAGCCATCTCTCATACACAACAGTAGTGTGCATGTATTAAATCCTGTGTTTGATACTTAGCATGTTTTTGTTCTGCATTTATTTTCATTAGTAGTTGAGTCATTGAAGATAGGGCCTTCATGGGGCTCATAATGTCTTCTCTCTTTTTGTTTGTTATTCTGGCTCACTAGTACCTAGATGTATGTGGTGCAATGCGATTCTAGCCCTCATTCGTGATTGAAGCAGTCAAGAAGTTCAAAGGTCATCCTGAACTACCTTGTCTCCAAAAGAAGGTTGAGGGTTATACCTAGGAAAAATAAAGAATGATGATACATTGAATGAAAAATGGGAAAACCATGATGACACATTAAGACTTGGGTTTGCAAAAAAACAAAATGGAAGCCATTGTTGAATGAAAAGGGAGGGCACTTTAATAAAGAAGATCCATTACATAGCCATCCTAGATGAAAAACAAGATAGCCTGAAGGAGATGAGTTAGTTGTGCATTTTGGTAGTGTTGTAGAGACAGAATGTAGAGATGTTTTATGACTAGCTGACAGCTGTCAAAGGTGAGAGAATAAATCAGTGATTACTTAGAGTTCTGGGCTTTTAATTTTTTTTTCTTTTTGGAGGCTGTCTTAGGGTTTCTGTGGCTGTGAAGAGACCCCATGACCACAGCAACTCTTACAATGGAAAACATTTAATTGAGGTGGCAGCTTACAATTCAGAGGCAGAAAGCATGGCAGCGTTTAGGCAAACATGGTGTGGAGAAGTACCTGAGAGTCCTACATCTTGCAGGCAACAGGTAGTTGACTGTGACACTGGGTAGTATCTTCAGCATAGGAAACTTCAAAATCTACCACCATAGTGACATACTTCCTCCAAAAGGTCATATCTATTCAAATAAGCCACACCTCCTAATAATGTCACTCCCTATGAATTTGTGGGGGCTGATTACATTCAGACTACCACAGACACTGATTTTTGTTGTTGTTTGGTTGTTTTTGTTTTGTTTTTATTTTTGTGAGACAGAGTTTCTCTGTGCAATTCCCTTTATTGTCCTGGAACTCATTCCATAGGCCAGGCTGGCTTCGAACTCACAGAGATTCACTGGGGAGACAGAGGCAGGCGGATCTCTGTGAGTTCAAGACCAGCCTGGTCTACAGAGCTAGTTCCAGGACAGGCTCCAGAGCCACAGAGAAACCCTGTCTCGAAAAACCAAAGGGAAAAAAAAAAAAGAATTCTCTGCTAAATGCAAAGTTATTAAGATTTGGCACTGTTTTTTTAGTCTTTACATTAATTTTATTCTTTTGGCTGTGGCTCTTTGGTTGCCCTAACACAATTGAGTGATCTTGACACCCTTTTTGAAAATTAGTTGACTTCTTTGTAACAGCAGATATATATTTTAGCTTTCTTATAATTTGGGTTGGTTTTTTCTAGAAAATCCTGCCATTAAAAGAAGATTATGCTTATTTTTAAGTAGACTTTATGTAGGTTTGTGCATAAATTTTGACATATCTTATAGCACAGATTTAACCTGGAAAAACACAATTTGCACATGAAGTTATTTAGAAAGCTTTTGTTTCTGTTTTGTTAAAGCTTCTCTAGTGTCAGGTAGGTTCTATACGATTATAGAGCTTTAAAACAAAATTCCCCGGGTGGTGGTGGCACACACCTTAAGTCACAGAACTCAGGAAGTAGAGGCTGATGGAGCAATGTGAGTTTGAGGTCAGCCTGGTTTACTTAGACAACAATGTGGACACTAAGAGAGACTACATAGATCTAATCTACATGGGAAGTAGAAAGTAGAAAAAGACAAGATCTCCTGAGTAAATTGGAAGCTTGGGGACCTTGGGGGAGGATTGAATGGAGGAGGGGAGAGACAGGGAAGGGAACAGAGAAAAATGTAGAACTCAATAAATATCAATAAAAAAAAAAAGAACAAAAGATACTAAGGACAGAGGGTGGGAAGGAAGAGTGACATGGAACACCCATGTGGACGCTTTATTTTTTTTTTAACAGAGAAATAGTATATTTTCAATGTATTATAGATTATACAGCTTTTTATTCTGGAACTCGCTTTGTAGACTAGCCTGGCCTCGAATTCACTAACATTTATTTTTATCTAGTATACTTTTTTTTTTTTTTTGATACAGGCTCTTATGTAGAACAGGCTGTCCTTGGACTCATTATGTAGTTGAAGATGCCCTTCAATTTCCAGTATTCTGGCTTCTACTTCCAAAGTACTGGCATTACAATTATGAACCAAAACACTTGGTTTATGGGGTTTGGTTGATTGAACCCATGTTTCATGTATGCTAGACAAGTACTCTATCAACTAAACTAAATCCCTAGCTCTTTCCTCTTTTGGGTACTGGGAATTGATGCCAGGACCTTGAATATGGTGAACAAGTGCTATCTACTACTTATTTACACCTGTAGTCCAAACAGTTTTTCAAGACCAAGAATCAAAGATTTATTTTTACTTAAAAGTATGTGTAGTGGCACATGCTTTTAATCCCAGCACTAGGGAAGCAGAGGCAGAGGTGGATCTCTGTGAGTTTGATGCCAGCCTGGTCTACAAGAGCTAGTTCCAGGACAGGCACCAAAGCTACTGGGAAACTCTGTTTCAAAAAACCAAACCAAACAAAAAGTATGTGTGTGTGGTATATGCAAATGGCCTCAGGTGCTCAATTAGACTATGAAAGGGTGCTGTATCCCTTAGAACTGAAGTTACAGAGGGTTGTGATCCACCCAACATAGATGGGTACCAAGAACTGAACTCAGATCCTCAGCATGAACTTGCTCTTAACACTGGGACATTTTTCTAGCCCAAGACCAAAAATCTTGAAATTACTTGAACTCTATAGGTCTCTGAATTAGATTATGAATATCTTGGGTGATGCTGAAAAGAAACAGACTCTTGGTGGCTTTGTGCTATTTCTGTAAGGTCTGGTAGAGTCTATTGTTTAGAGCCATTACATTCTTTCAGTATTTTCTCTTTCATACATGTTGAAGTATTTTTATCACTTGAAGCTTTTCCCAACTAATGGATCTTTCTTTGATGCCATCATTTTGTGTAACTTTATGTTCTTTTCTCTTAGGAGTCTCAGCAGTCTAACTTTGGCTCTGGAGAACAAAGTAAGTATTTCTTTCTTGCTGGTTTTCAAGTTAGCCTATTTATTGGACCTTTTCTCATATAGCCATGTCTTATAATACTTTTACATTTTTTACATGTCTTACTCTGATTTTTGTGATCTGATTTAAAAAAAAAAATAGAAAGCTATACTAGGTGTTGGTGGCATACACCTTCAATCTTCGCACTTGTGGGTAGAGGCAGGTGAATCTCTGTGAGTTTGAGGCCAGTCTGGTCTACAGAGCTAGTTCCAGGACAGGCTCCAGAGCTACAGAGAAACCCTGTCTCGAAAAAAAAAAAAAAAAAAAAAAAAAAAGAGAGAGAGAGAGAGAGAGAGAGAAAGAAAGCTGAACTGAGTCTTAAGAAAACTCAAGAACTATATAGGTCATTTAAAAATCAAAATAAGCTGAACATGGTGTTGCAAACCTTTAGTCCCTACCTGTACTTAGGAGGCAGAGGCAGGTGAATCTCTGTGAATTTAAGGCCAGCCTGGTCTACATAATGAATTCCAGGCTAGCCAGGCCTATGTAGAGAGTGACCCTGTCTTAAAATAAAATAAAATAAATAAACTTATTTAAACTAATAGTTGAAATTTCATAAAATCAGTTTGCTGGTCACCTCACAATTTCAAGGGCCATTCTTTCCACTTCCTTCATGGTGCTGGTTTTGTGGTGATAAAACTGTAGGTAGGTATGATCATGTTAGTAATACTGCAGGCTCCTTATGCATTTCCTATTCATTCTTCCTGAGTCTTCTGATCTGGACAGAAAGCCTGGTATCCTCTGCAGCCTCACACTCACCTTCATTCTTCATTTCTCAGAGCTCTTGTGGAAGATGACTGCAGAGAATGTGCATAACCAAGAGATGTGCTCACTGATAGTGATGAGGTCAGGGCCACTGCAGGTGTTTGGGTGTTGTTGTACTCTGAACAACAGTTTATTAGATAGATTTATGCTGGTGTAAGAGTATTCTGAAAAATAAAAATAAGATTTTTTACCTTTACTAGTTGGTTGTGTGTGTGTTTGTTGTGTGTGTGTGTGTGTGTGTGTGTGTGTGTGTGAGAGAGAGAGAGAGAGAGAGAGAGAGAGAGAGAGAGGGAGATGTTTAAATGCAAGGATAAGACAAGAATTTATCTCTTTGTCTATAGAGCAAGTTCCAAGACAACCAGAGCTGTTTCACAGAGAAACCTTGTCTTGGAAAAAAATCTTCTATGTTTACATATTTATCATATGTGTAAGAGGTATGGGAATGCCACAGTAGACATGCAGAGATCATGAGACAACTTTTAGCAGCCCGACATAGCATCTGTATGTCTATTTAGTTCTACCTTACAACTATATCTATCTATTAATTTATTTTTTGGTTTTTTTTGGAGACAAGGTTTCTCTGTAGATTTGGTGCCTGTCCTGGAACTAGCTCTTGTAGACCAGTCTGGCCTCGAACTCACAGATCCGCCTCCCGAGTGCAGGGATTAAAGGCGTAAAACCACCACTGCCTGGCCTTGACAGTGGTTTTTGAAGCAGGGTTTCACTGTGTAGCCCTGACTGTTCTCAGAGACCCTTCTGCCTCTGTCCCTGGAGTGCTAGGATTAAAGGCATTCATTACTGCACCCCACTTTGACATGATATGCTCAAAATAGCTAGCTATAAACCAAAACTTTTTAGTTTTCTCTTAAGAATATTGTTTCATTATTTTTGCTTTACCTTCATTTACTTCTCCAGTGTTTAATTATGGCAGATAGGATCATAAACTTCATCTGTTTTTTTTTTTATTACTTTATATTTTTCACTGGATTTATTTATTCTTATTTTTGGAGGGGGGTGGTCCTGGCCCTCAGGCCTATGAGCTACCTCCCAGGGTATAACAGCTGTGCCAGTCATTAGTTGGCCATTCCCACAATTTTTTTTTTTTCTTTTTTGGATTTTCGAGACAGGGTTTCTCTGTAGCTTTTGGTTCCTGTCCTGGAACTAGCTCTTGTAGACCAGGCTGGCCTCGAACTCACAGAGATCCGCCTACCTCTGCCTCCCGAGTGCTGGGATTAAAGGCATGCGCCACCACTGCCTGGCTCCCACAATTTTTTTTTACCATCTTTCCCCAATACCTGATTTATTTTCAATTTTTTCAGTATGTATTCTAGTTTATTCTTTTACAATATTAAAACCATGTTACATGAAATAATTAAAGTTATTTAATTAGCCTTCTGCTGATGGGCATGTGTTTTGTTTCCCAGCTTTTATTGTTAAAGCTGTGCTTTTATAATACTGGATGTGGTGATACTCACTTATAATTCTGACTTTGGGACAGCTGAGACAGAGAGATTGCAAGTTCAAGGCCAGTGCAGGCTCTGCATTGTGAATTTGGGCCAACCTGGGCTGTGTAGTGAGATCCTATCTCCAGAAAATATAAATAAAGCCATATTATTATTAATATCATGTCTGTATGTGTCTGTGAGCATTCCTCCAGATACTGGGTAGATTCCTTTCTTTGAATAGATCAGTAGCAGGATAGTTACGGTATTGATAAGGTAATGTGAATGCATTGCCTTCTAAAATGACTGTGCAAGATCATTGCTTATGAGAATGCCTGTGTCTTCTGACCACTGTGTGCAATGTATTTATTTTGATTTATATTTTTGAAAAATAGACATTTTATATAGACATTTTATAATCTAAATAACCAATTTCAATTGCTCACTTCTATATCTTTTTGTTTTAGAAAGATACAATGCTTCTGCTAAAACATCAAATGGGCACCAGTCAAAATCGTAAGTTTATTGCTTAATGAGTATCTTTTTTCCCTAGAAGTTATCTAAAAT